TATAAACGAATCAACACTTCAAGTGTGCACACCCCTTTCCACCAAAAAAATCTTTTTACGGGATTTTAAATTTAGTCTTACGTCTACACTTGAATATCAGTTCGTTCCGTTGATTTAACTACTGGTTAGCATTTATGTATTTAATTATTGCAATTTTTTCTTGTATACACAGATCGCATTTGTCATGGAAGTTGTCGGGAGTTTGAGACCGACAGATGATTAACCATTTAATTTGTGGGGTGAAACCACTATCTTTAATCTTTCAATAATGCCTCGATAGAGCAGTTTGGTGTCTCAAGGAAGCATTGTAGGAGGAATGTCGGTGACTGTATAGTCTTTACACACTTTGTTTTGTCTTTGTTTTCAATTTCCAGCGGATATCCCTATGTATGTTTTTTTTTTTTTTTTTTTTTGTCGTTGTATATTTTCTTTCGGAAAAATGGTAGCTTGGTATACCACATTTTCCGAATTACAGGTACCTCCGATTGGGCAGTTGGTTTCGGTTTTATAGTTACAAGAGGGTATGTTTTCTACTGTTTTGCCGTCATGGGATGCTTTTAGTATTTGGCTGTTGTGTGTGCTAATAATGTTCTGCATGTTTTGGGTGCAAGAATAACTAATTTTGAGAGGTTTTCTATTGAAAATTTTCTGTAGAGGGTTATTTTGATTAAAGTGCTTGTCGACTCATTTTAAGAAGTGTGTGTCAATATTTACATTGGATAGCTTACAGAAAGCGGAGTTGAATCATATCCTTTTCTGTTTCAGGTTTTACTTGTCTACTTATATATATATATATATATATATATATATAATCATAAAGGTGATAGAAAACTAACGATAAATTCTATCGGTTATCGCCTCCATCTCCCCCTCTCTCTTTCTTTCTTTCTTTCTTTCTTTCTTTCTTTCTTTCTTTCTTTGTTCATGTCCCTTCAGGTTTGGGGTATCAGATTATAGTTCAGCACACTTTCTTTCTTTTGTTGTTCTCAGGAATACTTTCTACTTGTAACTTCGCTTTGTCTTTTGTTATTAAGTCCCACATCTATTTTGCTCAAACTTGTCAAGTAGGCTCCTCGCTACTTTTTTTCTATTTCTCTGGATACGCCTTGTTTCTGTTCCATAGTGCGTCTTGTCAGTATTAAGTTCTCCAAACCTTCTCTCTTCATTATGTATCCCCAAAATTTCAGCGGTCTAGTTGTTAGGAGCAGTATCTTTGTCCTTTCCATACTATTAATAAATATCTAAAAAAAAAAACAAACAAAAAACATTTTCTTTAAAATAAAAAAAAAATACAGCAAAACCGATGAAGTATTGTACGGTTGTTAAATTAAATTTCTGTTTAAGCGCGTATGCACAACCTCCCCTCTACAAACGCGCACGCACTTCCGTGCACACACATACACACAGCTACACACACTTTCCTGCACACGCACACGGACACACTAACACAAGCACGCGATTACACGTACACACACGCATATATAATATCTATTTAATACTTTACTCTGTTACACATACATGTGACAACAAAGAGAAGCTTTGTGAAACTCACTCCCAAGAGATTGCTTCCCGATCAGTACAATCTTAACCTATTCAAATCTAGATTCAAACGTTATCTTTCCCGCATATCCCCATAAACTCTGCCTCTTATTCTGTAACCCTCTACCTCAATTGGATCTTGGGCCTTATACAAAGTGAACATCACTGTAAAAAAGCAAATAAGTCAGGAATAGTTAAATCACTGTCGAATAATAATAATAATAATAATATAAGCCGGACATAATTATCAAAAACCGAAAAGAAAAAAAAAACTTGTCTATTAAGTGATATGGTTTGCCCAGCGGACTGTAACATAGCAACCAAGGAATTTGAAAAATTATCGAAGTATAAAGACCTGGAAATCGAAATAGAAAAAAAAAATGCGGAAACTGAAAACAAGAATATTACCAGTCATAGTAGGTGCGCTTGGAATGATAAAAAAGGAAAACAACGACGCATTGAAAAAATTCCCTGGAAATCCCAGCTTAAGAGAAATACAAAAAATTGTTTTGATAAGTACAGCCCACACACTAAGAAAAACTTTGTCCATGTAACACTATAGGAGTTAGAAAAACAAATGATGAAATGTAGTCATATCAACACATCATTACCTGCCTTAGGTCTTCCCACAGACTTGGTAGATAGTATGACTATAGGAGAAATCGAAATATGATGATGATGATGATAATAATAATAATAATAATAGCCTTGAAATGAAAATTTAAAAAAATGTCGCACATAAGGACATCAATAATTCCAGTTGTAATTGGAGCCCTCGGATTGATTAGAAAATGGGTCCAATGGATTCATTAAAGGGATTCATGGTAACCCATGCCTTAAAGAAATACAAAAAATTGTATTCACAAGTACAGCTCACACATTACGAAGTGCTTTATCTATGTAAAATGTGTGGATTCTTAGGCATTTTTTTTTTACAAAAAATGATCAGTGAATGTCATGAAGCCATTTCTGACATTAGGTCTCTGGTTGGGACCCGGAAGGAAAAGTGTATACAGCAGAAACCCAAAGAAATAACAATAATAATAATGATAATAATATAGGCCGGACATAATTGTCAAAAACCGAAAAGAAAAAAAAGAAACTTGTCTATTAAGTGATATGGCTTGCCCAGCGGACTGTAACATAGCAACCAAGGAATTTGAAAAACTATCGAATTATAAAGACCTGGAAATCGAAATAGAAAAAACGTGGAAATTGAAAACAAGTATAGTACTAGTCTTTCTAATTGCCCTTGGAATGGTAAAAAGGAAAGAACAACAACACATTGAAAAAAATCCCTGAAAATCCCAGCTTAAGAGAAATAAAAATTTATCTTGATAAGTGCAGTCCACATACTAAGAACGTTGTCCATGTAACGCTAATAAAGTTATGGGAGTTAGAAAAATAAATCATGAAATGTAGCCATAGCAACACAACCCTACCTGCCTTAGGTCTTCCCACAGACTTGGTAGGTGGTGTGGCTATAGCAGAAATCAAAATATAATAATAATAATAATAATCACACTGTTCAACGTTCGAGTCCTGTTATATACGGTACCTTTGAACATTAATGGATATGTCCCAATCCTCATAAATACATTGCAAGTGGGGAAAATATGCTGTCTAAGTAGTCCACCACTGGCAGTGGTTTACCTACTTCACGCCGCTGGCGAGTATTGTATTTTCTTGATGTTATAAAGATTACCATTTCATTTTCAGTCTCCGTTTTGGTTATTCCTCACTCAGTGACCTTTCCTAGGTTACAACAAGTTGCATGATATTATGAGATAGTTAGGGTACCCTAGTGAGTAATTTCCGTACCCCTCACATTGTCTCTCAGGACAGTAGGGATTATACAGTGGTGCCCATCTCCTCTCCAAGTAACATGCGACAGGTTATGCTGGATTACATGGTACCAGCAGCAAATATTATTTCCTGCCCTGTCTATCTCCCCCTTCTGTGATATTTACTTATAGCTAGGGTGGGGGAAGTGTGGATTCATGCCTTTGGTGGATACCAACTGCCTCAACTGGAATTTGAAGTCGGTTCGTAGATTTCTCTGTGTTCTTTGGCTGTTAAGGTACTCATTGACACCTCCCGACAAAATGTGATCAATCGTGAGTTCTTCTTTTTAATCAGATTTCAGAATAAAAAGCTAAAAGCGAAATAGCAGATAGAAACAAATATCTGAACCTCGCGGTGTGGGGAGTGAAAAGAGAAAAGATGATGATGATTTTGATCGATTGATTCGTTTTTACGGTTTATCAACCCTTTGCTGGTTATTTAAAGCCAGAAAATATTTATTTTAGATTGTATCTTTTTACTTTTTTTTTTTTTTTTTTGAGGTAATAATTTTTTTTAGCAATATACGTCCTATTAATTAGCCCATAGCTTGAGAAGAGATGGATTCATACCTTTCCCAAGAGTATTTTCACCTAAGTGAATATAAAGAACCCAACTGGAATTGGAACTCGGCTCTCCGGTTAACAATTTCGAGCCATTATCCATTACACCGGCCGCACATCCAAGCTTACAGCATCTGGTATTCCCGAACGGTCTCCCATCTGACCAGATTTGACGTTGCTTAACTTTGGTGAACGTACGGGAACCGGTGTTTCAACATGATATGGCCGTGTACCCAAAATAAAAGAGCCGGCACGATTAAATTCTATTCTTAATTCCAAGACTCTCACCCCCACTCACGTCACAGAAATTATTTTAGACTAACTTACTTCATACGTCGAGGAATAAAAACAGTCCATTTTAAAATATAACCCAATAGGTTCATTTTATGTCCCTAATTTTAGTATTTAGTATCAAAAACTGCTTCGGTGATCGCACGGAGATCGGTATTTCAACGAAACGTAGCCGTAAGCAAGAAGAAGAAGAAGAAAAAGCGGGACTATGGGACATGCAGATGAGAGTTTTACCCATTATTACTGGCACGCTTGGAACAGTCCTGAAATAGATTGAAAGAACTGAAAATCCGAATAGAAATCCTTCTAAACAAAAGCATTTAAATGAACATACTGAGTACAAGGGCGGTGAGCGTACTTGTTGTCACATGATATATCAGTGGACGCCATCAGATACTGAGTACAAATAATAATACGAAATAAAACCTGTTTAGTTTATTTTAATACTATAATAGGGTTTACTTAATTTTATAGATTATTATTATTGTTATTTTTGTTGCTGTTGTTATTATTATTATTATTATTATCATTTTATTGTTGTTCTTCTTCTGCTTCTTCTTCCTATTATTATTATTATTATTATTAACGAAAGGCAACCAGCCATTTCGTATTTTTACAAAAATATCCTTGGTCTTTCTGTTCAACGAGCAATCTACCAACAATAACGACGACGATGCTGATGCTGTTGCTGATGATGACGATGGATATGATGATGATGATGGTAGTAGTGATGACGTGTGACAAGTCAAGGATTTTCACCCGATATTAAAAAACTGAGCGTACAGAGAGAGAGAGAGAGAGAGAGAGAGAGAGAGAGAGAGAGAGATTGACAGACAGACACACAGACACAGACAGACAGGCAGACACACAGACAGAGAAAGAGACGGACAGACAGACAGAGACAGAGAGCGGAGAAGAAACGCAAAACAAATAAATAAAAATAACTTTGTCCTGCATTGAGCTGAACATACAGAAACATTTACTGTGAAACAGTTTAAATTAAATTCTACCAAAGATAAACTATATATATATATATATATATATATATATATATATATATATATATATATTACGGAAATGTACGGAGCGTATCTCTCTTTCTCTCTCTCTCTCTCTCTCTCTCTCTCTCTCTCTCTCTCTCTCTCTCTCTCTCTCTCTCACACACACACACACACAAATTGTGTTTAAAAATAGATAAATAAGTTAAAATAAAATAAAATAACGGGCGGACAGTTTATTTCTGAAAGATAACGTTTTTAAGGCAAGCAGTCTTTGTAAATAGAGTGCTCGATATCAAAAGATAGAGCCTTAATAGTAATAAATAAAATGTTAAACGTGTCTCTTAAGATAAATGAACATTTAATTTTAATTTAATTATATACATACATTATATGTGTGTGTGCGCGCGCGCACGCTCGTGTGTGTGTATGCGTGTGTATTTAGGTATTTTGAATTAACAGAGCGTGTTTCCTACACATTTACAAATAAATTCAAAACTATCAATTTCGTTAATTTTTTTGTCTAAGCAATTCACCCTGAAAATGATCTTGAAGGAGATTGAAAGTATTTGGGAAAATAAAAGAAATTAAAAAAAAAAAAAAAAAAAAACTACGGTGACTTCCTTAATATGTTTAATAGCAACATTAAGAAATTGATCCGTGAATTTGAGATGATTAAAATAAAAATAGACATAATATGTCTAGATTATTCAACTAAACACACGCACGCAAGCACACACACACACACACACACACACACACACACACACACACACACATATATATATATGTATGTATGTATATATATTTATATATATAGTAATTGAGAGAGGAGAGAGAGAGAAAGAGAACTGAAATGGGATTTATTTTATTTATTTATTTTAGTGGACAGAGCGTTTTTAACACACAAAATCTTCGACTGTTTTTTGGTTGTTTTTTTTTTTTTAATTATTTTTCAATTTTTTCAATGATCTAATGTTGGAAGAGATAACGCTTGCATTGATTTATTCGTTTACTAATCTCTTGATATTTTAATAAACTGTTTGGAACAAATCCAGATTATGATACGCCAATATTCTAAGTAAGGGGAGGTTCTGTCTGCCTTGAAGATCAGCATTCGAACTCCTGGCACTTAACCAGGCCTAAAACCCTGACTGCTGGCGCTGATAGGGAACACGTCCAACTATTTCATTCAATATCTGCGCACACTTTTTCTTTTCCATTTTATCGAAAAAATAATTACTCTAAAAAAGTGAAATATATTTTTCGTGATATATATCCAATGTGCAAATAACTCACTCTCGAATCTCTTACTTTATAATCTAAATAATTAGCTTCTTTAAATGTTAAAACACCAGTAGTTTTTTTTTTTTTTTTTTTTTGTCTCGATATATTATTTTACTAAGCTTAGTACGGAAAAAGGTCAAAGGGAGTTCGGGTTTCAAAAAATTGTATTGCTCTGATCTCTCGAGTGGTAAGTGCCTGCTTAAATTCAGTATTTAAGAGCCTGACTTATATCTGGGCTGGAAAACTTAACTTCTTCAAATGCAGTCCATTGTCAATATTTTAAACAATTTCATCACACACTAGAGACCAAATCTGAAGAAGTGGTGGCAGATAGATTTTTTTTTCTAGTGGGAAGGTTCTGTGTTCTTGTTTTTTTTAAAAATCGGAATTTTATTTTGACATTTTTTTTTTTTTTTTTTTTTAAAAAGAACCCGAAACTCGACAACAGGTAGCGATGAGAATCGAACACGCTATGATTGTTGTATTAAAATAGTATTCATAAAAGAAATTGTATGATCTAAGTAAGTTTCGAATTTGAGAACAAATTTATTTAAATAGCTTTTTTTTTCTTTTTCTTTTTTTTTAGAGAGAGAGAGAGAAAGAGAGAGCGTCAGAGAAGAAAAAAGACAGGAAGTTGTGAAGGGCCATGATCGCCCACGTTCGAAAGGGATATGGCCCAGAGAAAATAGAGAAATATCGACGAAGCATGTCTACCATGGTATACGTGCGTGTGTGTCAAAGTATGAGATTTTTTTATTTGCACAAGCAAAAAAACAAATTATTCGCTGTGTCCGTGTGTTCGTTTATTGCGTGTGTGCGTCAGCATCGCATGTTTTCGATTTAAAAATATTTTTTTCTTCTTTTTTTTTTTAATTGTGTGTGTTGATGCGTACATGTAATTGTTAGAAAAGATATCTAACACATGTGGGGGAAGTGCTCTACCCTGCTACTATCATCTACGTGATCTTCTTTGTCAATCCAGATTTCTTTCTTTTTTTTCTGGGCATGTTTTGTCTGCTACAGGGACATGGGGGGATGTACATGATTCATGCATTATAAACAACTTTCTTTTCTATACCCCTCTCTCTCTTTCGTTATTTATTTATTCATTTTCATCAGTTAACCTAATTTAAAATATTTTCTTCACTAATTGCTTCTTCTTTTTTTCTTTTTTTTTTTCAACCTTTTTGTCTATATAGGCCGACAAAAATGAAAAAAGAAAAAAGAAAAAGAAAAAAAGAACCTTACTATCTGTCCAGGTCAAAGAGATATTTTAAAAGTCAGTTTTTGGCTCCTTAAAAGAGAAATAACCAAGCCACCAACCCATTCTTTCTCAGAGGCAACATTTTTAGATATGGCGGCCTACAGACCTACGTTATACCACTCGTTAATACCAGCAAGTGCAAAAAGATGACAGAGGCCGGGATTTATTATTATTATTATTATTATTATTGAAATTCATCACGCTCACTAGTGGAAAAATATATGCTAAAGTGCGTTGTATGTAAAAGTACGATAGTATTTTAAGAACTGAATATAAAGCTCTTTTGCCTGTCTGTGTGTGTGTTCGCAAATATTCCAGGCTTTGAGAACTTGCAAGTTTGTTAGTCTATCAACAGCGGGAAAGGAGAACAGAGACCGAATATAGAGAGAGAAAGGAAAGATGTCACTTAAGCGAGTTAATAAGAGTGGGTAAAAACGAAAGGGGGGAAAAAATAAATAAAAGTAGGCGGAGTACACGTATGGCGAGGTTGAAATTGCAGACACATCGCGCGCGCACTGGTGTTAATGTAGGTCATCCTCCATAGTGAGGCTTGGCAGTAGGATCAGCAGCAGTCAGTCACCCACACTGAAATGTGCCTTTCTCTTTGATTCGAGAGGAGGTGTGGGTTCGGGTTGGATTCTGTTTTGGCAAATAACATGTAGCATATATAAGAGTGATAGCGATAAATAGATAGATAGATAGATAGATAGATAAAAACGTGGAGAGAAGAAAGACTAAACTACTTGACAGTAAACGAAAGGAGGAATAAAAAAAAAAAGTAAGAAAAAAACTGAGGAAGGAAGGAAAGCAGGAGTTGTTAAGGAGGATTCTGGGCTTCTTTTTTTTTTTTTTTTTTCGTTTCTTTTCCTTTTCAGTACTGAGGTTAATGTTAGCTTCTCCCTGTTCCAAAGGCCCTGACCCATAGGCAAGAGATATTTGCTCACGCAAAAGCTGCACGCCAGACCAAGTCCAGACTAGACGGGCTGATATCATGTAGGAGCTACTACACAAAACGACCCGCACTGCTCTCTCAACCTAGATCGGCCATCTTGAAGCAATTATTATCAATAATAAAAATAGTAAAAGAAAAACTGTAATTCCCATTAGTCATAGTAACGATTATTGATACAAAGTATACTTTCCACTATAATTTAAAAGTGATTGTACTCATATTTACTTCTAATTCATATGTACCAATCATAACTTGAACTGAAGCATCTGTGACCCATGTGCTCTATTGCCAGTATTTGAACAAACGTCTATTTTTTAATCGATTTATTATTATTATTATTATTATTATTAGCTATATTTCGACAATATTTCATGTTATTGTTAGAATTAGTATTATTTGCAAGTAGCAAATTATTTTTGGATGAATTGTAATTTTTGTCCTCTAAATTTGCGCGAGTTTTTATTCCTTTCTTGAGTTATAATGATTTTAATATTGATAAGATATTAACTTTCAGTATTTTATTGTTTAATTATATTGGCGTCAGTCTTTGCTCTTTAGTACTTAAATAATAATAATTGCTTTAATAGCGATTAGTATAAGTTGCAAGTTTAACATCGTTTATTTATGGTAAGGTTTCCATTATTAATATTATTATTATTACTATTATCAGTACTAGTAGTAAGTAGTAGTTGTGATGATTATTTTGGTAGTTTTCAGTGAATAAGGGAAGAGCGGGCAGATCGAGTTGCTGCTGCTGCTGGCACTACGAATAGTTGAATATATTCGTTGATGGCGATGGAGTAGGTTTTTTGTCTTCATTCTCTCTTTCTTCCTTTCTCTCTATAATTCTCTTTCTTCCTCTTCTAACATTTTTTTTTCTCTACTTTTTTTTTTACTGCCGTTTTTTGTCTCGCAGCTGGTTTCATTCATTGTGAGTTTTCGAAAGGATGCTTCAAACAAAAAAAAGAAATAATAATAATTATTATAATAATAATGAAAGAATTAAGATTACGTAGGGGTTGATATTCATTATTATTTTTTAATTATTACACTAGTCTGATTGACGTCAAGTGAAAGCAAGCCTCCTAAATATTCCAGCACTCTCCTCAGTATTCTAGCTTATTTTCTTAAAGCAGCCGTCAGAATAGTTTTTAACACACACACACACACACACACACACACACACACACCCCTATCTATATATATATATTCGTTCTCATTACATTCGGATATTTAGTTGTATATTTAGGTAGCAATCCTTCGTTTATGCATGTTTCATTAAAACCGACAGACAAAGTACTACGGTTAAGTTGTTTATTTAATTTTTCTTGTATTCGAACAGGCGCTTTCTTTTCTGGACAAAGAGTGTGTAAAAACTGTTCAAATGTTTTATAGTTCCGAGCGCTTTCGGCTATACCTTTAGCCATTATCAAGGATGATTCAATTTTTCACCTTAATTGAGTGTGTGCATTATGTGTATGTTTTAGCATGCAAATCGAAATATCCGTCAACAATAACACATTTCTAAAAAAACATATTTCGATTCGCATTTGATTTTTCGTCTCTGATGCTACCTGGATTTACTAAAAACAAAATAATTTCCATGTCTGAGGATGACTGTATGTACAGTTGAAAGTACTAGTAGATTTTAAAAAAAAAAGACCTTATACAGCTTATAGTTATTAAAAACAAGGATCATAACATTCATCGAGTGGTTCGTAGGTTAATGCAACTTTAAAATTTTGTTTGCGAAGAGATTTCGCCATTTTATATCATAAACTTTACTAATCTACTTTTGTATGAATGATTCATTGTAATATAAATTGAAATGCACAACATATTTGATAAATATATATGTGTGTGTGTGTGTGTGTATTACTACCATAAATGTTATTTAATGGTATACGTATTTGAGTAGACATCCCTGTTGTTTTCAATTGGCGAATTTAATCTCTAGCAGCCTAGAGATCGAAAGTCTTATTAAAGAAAATGTGCTTCTCAACAGAAATAGAACCTGAATTGAATTTTAGGCCAGGCGTACTTTTACCATTAAGCTACAAGAAGCCATTACAGCAATGCCATTTTCCATTACCTGTAATGGCTTCTTAAAGCATAATAATTAAAAGGAGATAAAAGGCACATTTTCTTTCATAATACTAGACAGCTAGGTATTAATTACATTGTTTAAAAAAATAAGAGATGCAAGATTTTTTTTTCGGTATTATTAAAATAACGCCAATAATGACGAGTAAAAAAGAGACCTTCAACTTGTGGCTAAAGGGAATGTATAGATCTGACAAAATAATTATATCGGTCTGACGAAGAGCTTAATATCATCAGAACTAGACAAGAAGGAAATGAGAGCCTAGGTCTATTTAATATCTTTCATGTCTATGCTATACGCATATACAAGCATAGACGTGAAGAGATGGACACTGATACCTTAAGCATTCTATATTGCATTCAAAATGGATTTACTTCCGTATTTGACAGCATATAAGACGCACGGGTGTATAAGACGCACCCCAATTTCATCAGGGCAAATCAAGAAAAAGTTAGTAATTAGTAAAATTATTAGTAAATAGTACAGGCTAGGCTATATTTATGAGGTATTGTTTTGGTTAAACAAGCCATGATTACAATTAAACGAAAAATAATAGGAAAAAAAGAACACGATCCTATATATTTGTAAAATATATTTGTTTCATTAAAATTTTTCTTATGATAACTTCCTATAAAAACTTTATTATATCCAAAGGTAAGAAAACAAAATAAAAATCAAGCAATTATTACAATTGAGCAAAACAGTACAGTTACCATTAAAATTCAGTCAAAAATTTTCGTTTATATGAATCTGTACAACGTCCATCTTGTAAACGTCTTAGTGGAATAATTAGGATATAAACATTCTGATTGTATTTATACCAATGAAACCGGAAGTCATCATAAGAGAAATATTAATGAAACAAATATATTTTACAAATATATAATTTGAATTTATTGCATATAATTTTAGTGAGACAAAGTACTAATATTAAACGTGATGATATTAATATAATGAATTTTATCAATGATAACAATTTTAATCTGCATAATAGCCTTTTAAATAATGACAAAAGGTATATGAACGTTACTCTAAAGTCTAAGTCTGGAGTTGCCAGGGATCTAATTTCGGCCGACTAACGAGAATTTTAAACCTAAATATGGCATATAAGACGCAGGGGAATTTTAAAAGATATTTATATTGAAAAAGTGCGTCTTATATACCGTCAAATACGGTAATTGAAAAAAGGGTTTCCCTCCTGAGCCCATAGTAGTCGTAGTTGGAATATGAATAATCCTGAACAAAAAAAAAAATCAACATCCTCGACCAAGTGTTCCACGAAATAGGAATCAAGATAAATAAGAAACTATGATCTGGAATTTGAATGAAAGCAGTTTATTGTACATACCTTAATTCATCATAAACATTCAGAATGTAGAATCAATTGATTTTAAACAATTCAAATACGTCGGTGTATGAATCACTTATAACGAATTTAATATAGAAGTTAAGGAAATTGAAGGTTGTGTTAGGGGTAGTTTCCCCCAACACCGCAAAATACCACAGAACTAAAACATTAACCTAAAATCTCAAGCCATGTCCTTAAAAAGCATCGTCTGATTGAGGCTTTCTTATGGATGGTATGTTTGTCGCAAGATCAGTTCAAACATATCTAAACTGGATACAATCGCATTCTCAAATTAATAATTAATAATTGCTTCGAGCAAATGTACCATGTAGGTCGAAGAAAGGAAAATCCTTCTTCGAACACTGCGGACTGACGCTATACAATCACAAACAAAGAAATGTACCGATGAAAAGAAGCCATATGACTTGAGGACTTTCAACAGCAGTAACAATTATTCATAAATTCTGTTGGCTTGGAGGTGCGGTTAAAGACTCGGAAGTAGAAACCAGCGAGCCAGGTTCGATTTATGACCGAGTTTGTTATTTTCAGTTTGAAATAAATACTCGAGGGAAAAATAGGAATCCATCTCTTTCTGAAACACCCTGTATATTGTTTATCAAAAGAAAAATCAACTGCAATGTTATTGATCCCTACCTGGCATCTCGGCTTCAGTCACTTTTTTCATCGCTGTAATCTAGCTTTCCTATGCCTTTTCTATAAATACTTTCATGGTAATTGTTCTGGTGAACTTTCTTCTATGGTACATCTGGTTCGATCCTGATCTCCAGTTGGAAATGAATTGGTCGGAGGTGCGAGGGAATGCCGAGATCGCAATTAATTTGTGGTTTCGGAGGAATCTTTCCTTAAAGGGGAAGACGGAAGTATGTGTTTCACACATCTACCCGATTCTCCTTTACCGACTCTGGGTACTTGCACTTCCGTATGCCACACTAATGTCATTAGTAAAGCTCTTGTTCTCTTTCTTGTGGAGAGACAAGGCTGCTATGGTATCTCGGGAGACCTGTTGCTTTCATCCATCTGAAGGCGGTCTGAGATTCGTTAATATATGCTTCGTATCGGCTTTCTAGATCCAATGTGTAAGGAATATTGTTTGTGCGATTGGGTCAGCGTTTGTGGCTAGCTAAGTTATAGTTAAGACAGAAGAAGACCGTCCTTTCTCCACCCCCCCCCCTTCGGCCATGTGCCACATTTCTGTATTAAACAGAATAAATATCACTTTCTTCTATGGTACATAGACATTATGAATTTAAGCACAGTACTAGATTGGCGGCAAGGTCTCATCATTTTGCAGTTGAAATGGCGAGATGTAGCCGTAAGTTCTAGGCTAACAGTTTCTTCTCTTGCACTTCTCGCTTGTAGAACCCTCTTCCGATTTTATAAATTATAATCATTCTAAATATTCATTGGGGTTTCATTTTTAAAAGTTGTTAATATTATTTCCCACCGCCACAGACAAATTGTACATCTGGGCACTTGTAAGAGACTTTGTGGTATTATGGTGACTGTAGTAAGAATGGTAAGTAAGAATGTGGTGTTTTGGTGTAAGGAATTCTGTCGTATGTTTGGGT